CAAGTGAATCAATAAATTTAATATAACAGAAGGGATTCTCAAATGCTGCACCTCATCTACTTATTCAAAGAACTGAAATCTTTAAGAGACTGGAAATCTACAAATTTACCGTTCCTATCTCCATATAAGTGACAGGAAATTTTTGTTTTTCTTGAAAAACAAACGTTTTAACTGAATTTGCGAGATGTAAGCATTCTAAGCATTATTGCGCTCATATCTTTTAAAAGCAGCACAAGTAACTGTCGGGAAAACAATACGTATCTGCACTAACCATTTCCACTTTTGGGTGCAGTGTCTTCCGGGCCGGGATGTTCGTTATGTGCGCGAATCGCAGTACTGGTCCCTCCTTGGGTGCTCTGCAATGTGTCGGATGATGACGGAGAGCATGAAGTTGGTGACATTTCACTTGGTGATGACATATTCTCTCGTGCTCTGCAATTGAACATACTTTGTTAGTATTTTTTAAAGGAGAGAGAAGGATAAATGCAACATTTAAGATATTAAATGCACATATACAGAAAGATAATCGAAAACTGAAAAGTCAAACAATAATAAATACATTATTCAATATATGGAAAATGTCCAGAAAATCTTTAGATTTCTGGACATTCCCGTAATGGATGTAAGCTTATGCATCGACTTAAGATAGATATAAAATCTCAACTAGCTAAAGTTTTTAACTCAGGATGAGTTGCATATTAAATTCAAATGTGAAAATTGCAAAAAAAGAAAAACCAATCAGTGCTGGTATAACATATTACTTTTATAAGTATTAGAATACGAAAAAAAGACATTGTGATCATGATACATACCCGTTAACTATAACCTGGGTATGTGCGCGATTTGGTATAGCAAAACCTGCCAGACGACCATGTTCTGCAGTGCTCGATGCTGCTGCTGTGTTCATCTTCAATAGTGCCTGTTCCTTTGCCACTATACTTGCTATCATATCCAAATCTTGAAACTGGAAATATTCCGAAATTTAATCTCGACCTTTATTTCTGATGCAGTTATGGAGAAAAAAATCCATCAGACACGGTAACCTACCCTGTTTCAGCCCGCCTGTCTGCGTCAACCCATCCTTTCTAGTAAAAACCTTCCGAGTACAGCAGATTCTCCTTTAATGTAGTGTACCAGCACCATCCCATTGCAGCGTGTCGTTTTGTTACGCTGCACGTTCGATGGTACCACATCAACTAATCTTTCGAGAATTCTGGTCAACATCCCATTTCATACCCTCTCAACTATCAGCTGATTAGACAGCTGTCAGGACAATACCCTCTTATTCTGAAAGTTCGTGAAGAATCAAAAGATTTATCAAAAGACATCATCCGAACGAAGTCTTCCGAACCGATGAAAGCCGGCCTTAATAAAGGGAAGAGCTGCAAAAGCGAGAATGAGTAAGAGCTGCTCCAGAGCTTTTATAGCAAATTTGCATAAAAATTTCAAAAAGATTGTTGTAAGGAACGCAGAAATGTAGTGGAGACGTGCAACACGAGAGACGGATTGCAGGGGTGATAGAAAGAGAAAGGAAAACGTCTGGAAGAGTTCGCTTTTGTACTGGGGGGCTTTTTGTAGTAGAGTGAGGGAGGAAAAGAGGACGGGGAGGGTAAAAATTGCTACTACCTCTCACCCTGCTTTGTTTTTTTTTTTTGGAAGTAAGAAGAGAAACGGCGAGAGACTGTGGATACACAGACATGATTGAATTGAATTGTGGAAATGAATGGAAATTTTTCCAGCTGTACTGTGGTCCGCTATGGAGTGTCTTTTTTGAAACATATTTCAACTGATGCAAAGAAAACTTCTGTTCTGACAAGATGGATCAGGCCCTGCTCCACATATGGTAACAAAAAAGGAAATTTTCAAAAAATATGCCACTACCCACGCCAAGAAGCAAAAACCATGGCAACAACCATAACAATGATTTCCAAAATACGAATGAAAAAACTGCAATGACGTTTTCCAAAAAAAAAAAAATTCCCCCCACCTTTTTTGGAGAAACTTTAACAATTTTTCCATCACTGAAAAGATTCATAGCTCAAATTTTCAAACAGAAATAAAATTTGTTACAAAACAAAACCGAGAAAACTCTTATTTCTAGAAATGAAATGAAAAAGGGAAAAATAGGGAGATCAAAAATTGCTAGCCGACGGTTTCAAATAAAAGATGGATTTTCTATAATATAAGGAGAAAAATCTGCCGTGCTTCGTAAAGCAAATCAACAAGCAAATAATATTAGTAAATCGCAAGGGAGGCACATACACTTCCAAGCTATTTCACAAAATATTATCAGGTGGATAAAAATAAATATTATCTGTGTTCTTTCTCTAGCACATAAAGCATGCATGGAAGCAAATCAAGATGACATAGACCGCTCGTTCACCACTGTACTACACTAGTTGGCACTTCTGAACTGGAAAAAAAAATGTAGCTAAGAGAAAAAGCAAATATAAATAACAAGGGCGTAAATCGAAGAGGACTGAGAAACTTTCCACATCTGACAATACATATTTGAGGAAAAAAAAATTCTGTTAGAGCAAGTTCATCCAAAAAAAAGCAAATCCATCTTCGAAGGATTTTGTTGCATTATCGCATAAGTATCTCATTTTCCGTGAATCAAAAATCACTTTTCCTCTAATAAGAAATTTGTACAATAGAATAGCCTGAGCCGGAAACATAAAATAGAAAATCGCATTAATGACAAATGGATATCAAATAAAGACAATGTAAATGACTAGCATGCTTTGACCCTGATTTGGATATAGACGTGATTTGGTCCGCGAGTCAGAAGTCTGACACGGTCCTCCACCAAATTTTTTCTGCCCACGGAGCCACGGTAGCTTCCCACTCTCTCCTTGCCTCTCCGCTTTTCACTCGGACATATATATATATATAAAATTATATGTTGGCCAGTTCCTTCTCCTAATTGTTTTATATAAAATGCTTTAGATGGGAATATCCAGCTTTGTGTTTTCGAGTATAATCTATGTATTTTTTCAAATTTTAACCAGTGCTGC